GAGGAACATCCAGTCGCCCTTGTTATTGAGACCGACCCTGGGCATGATGAACTCGGACTCGTAGGGGCAGAGGTCCATGGAGGAGGCCTGGCGGCGCTGGCGGCGGAGGGAAGACCGCATGATCCTGGAGGAGGGGGTGGGTAGTATTAGCCTCGGGAAAGGTGGAGGAGCCGATTCGTAAAGGTCAACGGGCCAAGGAAGAGAAAATGGGTCGAAGAACAGAAAATGGTAAAGAAAATCTGTCAGTGAAAAGGAAATGGGTCAATGAAATGATATTTTGTCGATGAAAAGATAGAATATGGGTCGAGGTAAAGGAAATTTGTCAGAGAAAAAAATGGGTCGATGAAAAGGAAATGGGTCAATGAAAAATGAAAATAGGTCGATGTAAAGAAAATTTGTCAGTGAAAAGGAAATGAAAATAAATCCAATGAAAGGAAAGTGGGCCAAGGGGAAAACGTTGCGTAGGTGAAAGAACTAAACAAATAATGATTGTGTGAAGACTGGGAAGCAGGGCAGGGTGATGGAACTGGTCTCAGTTGTTTTTTCGGAAGCGTTTGCAAAGGAATTGAAAGCAATGGCAAAGTGCAGTTCAAGTAATTATGTAAGGGCAACTTTAAACAGAGTAATGAAATAAGAAGATATGACATTCTGACAGATTATGAATGTATTGTTAAGAAAATAAAGTGGACTGGGTGAAGCTGGGGAAACGTTAGCAGAGTAGTAGGCAAGGAAATGTTGGATGTTATTTGTCTCTGAAACTTTGGCAATATTCTGTAAAGGATATTATGGAAGTATTAGAAGGATAGCTTATGAATCTTTAAGTCAAGCAATGGAAATTATCATTAATTAAAACATTTAGAAACTAGTATACAGACATACTTAATCACTTAATTAATTATTAAACAGGTTTGGGTTTTATATTTGGTATACACTTAAAAACAAAAATCACTCATCTGCACTGGCTTACAATCACCGAAAATTAATCTCAGTATCATCATATCATCTGGACTTATTCATTAAACATGTAGCCATGTGCAAGTGACTGGTTCTTGTCCAATGGTCATTTTTTCTCTAACACCGTCTCCTTCAGGTCTTTAATTTTCTGCCGTCAATAAAGTCTTTCGCAAATCCATTAGTCCGAGTGTATTCAGCTATACAAACTGAAGATTTCCACCCTTTGAAAGTCCAATTTCAATTAACGACATCGGGAAAGAAAAGCTTTGTGATTTATGTTGAATTCGCGGCAATATTTTCGTGTGTAACAAGCCTAATGAGACCTCTGGTGGAGAAATTCTTAAGTACCAGAGTGGGAGTCGGTCACGCGGGAGAAATAATTGTTTGGCTGTCCATAAATCTCGGAATAATGGATTTCTTACTCCAGAGACTCCAGTAGAAAGGTTTTTCTATCTTTAAATGCTCGCTGAAAAACCTAAATAAATCTGACATCTGGTAAAATATCTGGTTTTCTACAGGATGTAGCTGGAAGACGTCTTCACAATGATTTTACTTGGTCGAGGATATTATCACCCATAGCTCGATCATCCCATATAAATATAACGATAGTGACAGATAAGGAGAAGTACGCGTATATATGAAACGACTGAGAAGGGCAAGGACTGGTAGCGGGGTCAAACAGGATATTGGAAGGGGAGATCAAACAGAAGGGAAAGAGAAATCATGGGTAACAACTCCGTATGATATTAAAAACAGACAGGAATTATTGGCTAGAATATCAGTTTTTTTCTCTTTTTTTATCACAGAAGTAAGGCTGACCAGCAAAATGCTCCGTCAGCCCCATTATCTTCCAGACCAAGGTCACCGACGACGGCTGCGATACTTCAAAAAGACACGAGAAGCTTCATTTCTGAGATTCTGTTTCGAGGCGACGCTGACGCCTCGGAGGAAGGGGGTTGAGTGGGGACGGTGCAGCAGCGCAGCTTAAGGAACGGCGCTATGGGGGATGGCAGCTGGCACTATGGAAGCTCGCAGTAATGCCTATTGCATGGCATTATAGCAAAGGTAAAAGTAGAGGCGGAGCTCGGAGAACTATGTAGCGCACGGTAGACCTATAATGCTCACGTAGGGTCGGTGTGATAGTTTGCCTATTGTATCCTATCAGATCAAAAAGTTAACTGAAAGACCAATGGACAGCGCGAGAGCAACATCGAAGGCAGATGTCCATTTGCGGGAAGGCACTCGAGATGTATTTTATCGCAGCAAGGTGAATGTCTTATCAACTACGAAAGAATAAACTTATAACTAGCTGAGTTTGGAAACAGCTCGGCTAATGGCCACTGCTATGAAATACATGAAACTGCATATCAGGAGAGGAACTTCAGAATTTGCATGTTTTAATTTAATGGTGAAATATAAAAAGATATTTGTATTTAATTTTCTATCAATTCTTTCTGCAATGGCCATTACCTCGCTATATCGGATATTCATGACACTATTACATCTAATGTCCTTAGAAACAATTGTTAATATAAGACATGGAAACCCAGAGCGCAAATACCCACCAATGAGCATGTTAAGGGAAGCCGACTACAGCTGGTTAGTACGAAGGCTTAAAGCACAAAGTTGTTTTTACTGCACCAGCGTCCTTTCTCGCGTTAAGTTGCTGGAAAGATCTAGCACAAGCGGCACTGACAGTTGCACTTAAAAGCACACGCACACATTGCAGTTACACATGAATGGCACAGAGCACGCACACAGATTTGTCGATAATGTCATTCCACAGTCACATCCACTTACACCCATGCACTCTAGCGCTACAGCCACGGCTACCGCCTCAGTCATCCAGTAGGATCAGTCACCCGAGCTGCACACCGGACTCAGCACCAGCGCGAGAGCCCCAAACCACCCGAGGAGGAGCAGAGAGCCTAACGAGAAACACGTCCCTCTCGACCTACTTCATCCACCAGGGTTGGGGTTTGGGCGGGGGGCGGGGGCGGGGGATGTACCGGGGAGGGAGGTAGGACCCTGGAGGCGACTTCGGGTAGCGTGGGTAGGGCCCCTCCTGGTCGTATGTGGGCATAGGCGGGTCGTAGAGGTACGAGGACGTCTGGGGGTGGTCGTAGTTGCTGGTTGGCGGCCCGTACTTGGAAGGCGGCGTAGCCGGGCTTGGAGGCGCTGCTGTAGTTCTGACGAGGGGGGAGATAGCTGGACGACGGGGGGCGAGGGGGCCCGTAGCTGGTCCGGGGGCGGTCGTAGCCGTACATCGAGGGCAGCGTCGGAGCTTCTCTGGAGACGAGCAGACAGAGAAATGCCATCAGTCACCCGAACCAGAATAAAGGCCATGAATGTTCACTTGGAATAAAATGTTTCGCTGCGAACGGCCCCAAAGCTCAGCTTACCTGGCTTCGAACGTGTAGGAGTCGCGGGATTCATCCGTTAGTAAGGAGTCGATGTCAAACATTTTGTTCTCCAGAAGGTAAATTATGCGATCTCTGTACAAAGTAGAACAAACATTGGGAGTTCAGTATCAACAACCGCTAAATGGACAAACCTACAACATTATTATCTTCTCTTAGAAATAATGTAGCTGCTACATCTGTATATTCTATTACTACCGTAACTACTGCTACTGTTATTATTGCCTGTTGTACTGCTTGTAAGCGATATTACTATTCGATCTGCTACTCTTGCTACTGCTACAACTGTACTTCAACAGCTGCTTCTACTACAGTTATGATTACAGCTGCTACTGCTGTTGCTAATATTACCTGCTAATGTAATTACTACTGCATTTCCTGTTATGATGATGATACTTATATTCTACCGTTGCTGTTGTTACAACATTAGTATAACAACACATAATAATAATACTGATGTTATATTATTAATACTAATGCCATAAGAGTATTAGAAGAATTGACAATAATAATAGTGATAATAATGGCAATAAAAGAAATGACATAAATGACCATAACATTAATAATAGTAAAAAAAAAAACAGTAATGGTAACACTGATGATTATGTGAATAAAATATTAGTAACGATAATACTGATAATAATAACACTGAAAATAATAATGATAAAGTTAATGTATAATAAAGATAACAACAATAATAATAGTGAAGATTATAATGATGATAATAACAATAACAGCAACAATGCTAATAATAAAATATGATAATAATAATGACACTGATAATTTTAATGATAATGATAGTAATAATTATTGAAAGTAGCGATGGAAATGATGATTATAAAGATAATAATGATAGCATTGATAAAGATTATTATAATGATAAATGTTAATAACAATAATAATAAATAACACATGATGATGATGAGGAGGATAATAATAATAGTAAAAAAAAAAAAAAATAATAATAATAATTAATAATAATAAAGATTATAGTAATGGTGATAATAATGATTATCATAAAAATGATAATAATGATCATAATGTATGACAATGATAACCACATTAATGATAATAAAATATCAATGAAGATGTTAATGATATTGACAACAGTGATGATGATTAAAATGATAATAACAATGATAATGATATTGATAGCAGAGATAATAATAAAAATGATATTGATAGTAATGATGACGATGATAATGATAACATGACAGTGATGATAATAAGAATAATGGCAACAATAGTAATAGTATTAATAACAATAATAATAATAATAATAATAATAATAATAATATAGCAACAACAACAACAATAATAATTATTAAAAATTGATAACAGCAGCAACAAAAACAATAATGAGATAATAATGATAATAATGATTATAATAATAATGATAACAGATCAGTAATAATAATAACAATAATGATGATAAGAATAACAATAATAAAAACAACAACTTCAACAACAACAATAATTATGATAAAGTAACACAACAATAATAATCATCATATTATAATAACAACACCAACAATCATACAATGATAATAATCATAATAATCATATTAAGGACAATAATAATAAGAATAATGATTATTAATACTATTTTCTGACACACGACCCAAT